ATTTCAGTGGTTATTCAATGGTTATTCGACTTTCGATGCTCGATCTTAGTGGCAAGCTGAAGAAAACAACTCGAAGAGGCATTTCACTCTTGGATCGAGTTATACTTACTCAACCAGAGTGGGGGGACTAGATGATATAGGATATTATACTGAACCCGGTTTAATGGATAAAGCGGATACATATAGGAAGATAAGCCCACTAAGACGTCCAAGCCCAACATTATGGGCCAAGTTCATATTGAGCCTACAAAGGTACACTCCCCCTATAAAAGGGGGGCCAAGGTACCTCATTCACACATTATCCTCTCCTCATTACATTACTACACTTTATCTCTCTCTTGATCCGAGCACTGACTTAGGCATCGGAGGCCCGACGCCGGGGCCACCCCGGCGTTGGGTTCTACAGGTACGGAGGCTGGTTTGAGTTGAAGGAGCCCGGGTGAATCTTATTCACTTCACATATAAAGAAAATAATGCTTTAGACGTACCGACAACTCCTTGTAACTCATGCACAATATCTGAAAGCAATGATCATTATCCTCTGAGCTCAAGATTGAGTTTAAAGTTTTCTAAGGCATATTCCCAGTATTACTTTCACTAGGCCTTGATACAGAAAGTCATCACTGAAATACGAAGCATGAAGATGATCGAATGAGACTCGATTATATCCTTTGCCTTGTAAGCTGCATCAGCTATGCGGCTCTCCATAGCATCAGAAATAATATGTTGTCCAGCTGAGTTTACAACATATATTCAAAATTCAAACAGAAAGAAGCATAAAAAAACAGGTCACTTGGAATATATTGTTCAGTTATAGCATCAACTAGAATAAGAATACTTTTTGTTATAGTTTAACATTGAAAACAGTCAACAGCTCCTACTATTGTCAATGCAGCATGTTATCAATACCCCTAAATATTATTTGAAGAAGACGAATTACTCAACGAACAGTCTGTTTCATTGCGTTTTTGCTGTCTAATTACGCAGTTCGACAACAGAAAAATCCAGTGTGTAGTTCAAAAATGGTCTAAAAGAGAAGATCTGACAAAACAACCATAACTATCAAAACAAAAATAATAGAAAACACAAGAGAAAACAGAGAACTTTTATAAAATGGAAAAAGTAAAAAAGAAAAACTCAAAAATAAAACCAAGAATTATTCATTCCCCAAAAGAGAGCTTAAAGCCTTCATTCCCAAGCTCATGTTGTTCCTTTATTATCTCCTTAGCAGAATGTATGACAGATGGGCAATCAGTCACACGTATCGACTCAAGTGTCGGTATATCTCCAATCTCCCGAGGAATCTTCTCCAGACCGAATAGCCCGACAAGAACAAGTTTCTCGAGGCTCGGAAAGTGCGAGCTGTCAGTCTCCCATCTTTTCAGACCACTACAGTACGCGATTTTCAAGTACTTGAGTTCCAAAAAATCTCCCTCGACTGTTTCTCAAACGTATCCCGTAAATGCATCGTCACATAGTTTAAGCACTTGAAGATTTGGCAGTTTTCCGATTTTCCTTCCCATCTCTTCCCAAACGAGACTCGTGCCGCCTAAAGTCAACTTCCTGAGCAAAACCGGGAAGCTAAGTCTTCGGCCCAAATCTTTCCCACGAACCGTTTTATCAATGTTGCAGTAAAGGCTTTCGAGCTTAGTTAGCCGGTCGAGATTTTCGAGCCCATAATCATCATCGTCATAATCGTGCTCGTCATATTCTATCGCCAACTTTTTAATATTCGAGATTTCCTCGAAAACACGACGAGAAAACTTAAAGTTCACGACTCCCTTGAGGGATTGCAGGTGTTCTAAAACTACTAACGAATCCTGGGGGACTCGGAATATATTCAAGTTGACGTGCCTAAGCTGTCATCTTCCAGATGTCGACGAGTCGAGTCGGGTTCGGATCCTGGTTTAATGACATCAGCTCCTGACACAAAAAGCTGAGAAATGAAGAAGCTACTCGGTGAATGTTGGTGCAGAAAAATTCAAGAAATCGCATGTTGGCCGAGAGGTAATCCGGTGGATCACAAGTGTTGTAAGCCACTACAGTTAGTACCCTCAGTAACTTACAATTAACACATCGCAGATTAATCGTCCCAGTCCCTAAAGGCCATATCAAAGAACGGAGCGAAGAAGATTGCACGGAACCGAAATCGAATTCCTCGTTTATTGTTGAGTCATCGAAACATATTCGCCGTTGGGTTTCAATTTCTTTTCGGATATTAGGATCGTGTGGCTGCCGAATCCAGAGAAATTTGCTCTTATGAGCTTCTTTGCAAAGATTTGTAAATACAATCCTACTTAGCACTTGAAAATTTCGATTTTCGAGCATTTTAGATCTGAAATTTGTCGATATCAGATAACAATTGTATTAGAAAAAATAAAGTACTGTAAAATAAGTTAAAAATGCACAAGGCTCGCTGCTTGATATAATCTCATCATTAATCAATCTCGTTTCCCAAAATTCATAGAAGCAACTCTGACTCATATAATACAAAACCCACAAGCAACCCTCATTCATTCAGCAAAAGCATCACACAGAAAAAATAGATTGAACCAAAACCAAATAAAGTACAACCCCATTCATTCATGATCTAATAAATATATAAGACTCCCAATTAAAAAATTTCCATTCAACCACCATAAAACCGACGCCAATCCGTAAAGACGAACAATGCAGGGACCAGAAATTTTGAAAATTTCCACAGCCTTACTGCTGATTGCACTCGGCAGGGCGTTCGCCCAGTGGACCTTCCCCAGCTCGTCCCGCCACACCTCTCTGTTGCAAAAAAAATCCCAATAAGCTCGATAAAACACATAAATGAACACTACAGAACGTTAAACAGACGAGTTATATAGAAATTTTACATACCTTCGGTCGGGATGGCTGAAGTTTCTCAAGCAACAGAACGTAGAGAAAAATAAAAAAATAACGTAAGTATCACCCCAAGTTAAAATTCTGAAGCTAAAATAAAATTGAACTCCCCTTTTTAAGATTGATCTATTTTACCTTCTTTGAGAACTTGACAGGAGCTTCGTCTTCATCATCATCCTCATCATCGTCCTCTTCCTCATCATCATCATCATCATCATCATCATCTTCGTGATCATTATCATCACCGTCATTATCCTCCATCATATCAAGTTCATCATCTTGAGCAGCCTCCCCAGTGAACCATGATACAGCATGAGGAATAATCTTATCCCGAATAGTTGAGCTGTAGAGAGTAAAAGATATGTTTGCATGAACAAAAAAATTAGTGGGTAGAGGATAAATATATTATATGATGCCTTGATGCAGGAGTAAACAAAGAATTTTCATGTTACATCCAATTATGTACTAATCTCAAAATGGAACATGAGACTCACCCAATGTCATAGTCTTGCTCCATTAAATTCTGGAGTTCCTCAGCCTATCAAGACAAATAACACCAGATAAGTAAGGTATAATTGAACATGGATAGTAAATATTAAGCAGATTCAGGTTTCGTGTGATAAAAAATTAGCATGTGGTGAAATAACCACCCTCACCACATCCTCATCAATGTCCTCTTCATCTTCCGGAACCTCTGGAGGGCTAAAGAAGTTGAAAAAACTTTCACACTTTTCAGTCTTTGTTATTGGCTTAGCATTTTTTACCCCCTTCTTTGGCTTTTTCTTCAAAATCTTTTGAGTCAAGCATTTGCCTGGATACCATTCGATCTGTGTCCTGCAAGATATCCAATTTTAGATACAAATCATTCCCAATTCAGTAAATTTTCCAAACAATGGTGGGAGGAAGAAAAGAAAAACAAACAAAGTAAAATAACAAGCTAGAACTTCAGAGATATTGAATAAAAAGTTACCCTATTGCTTTCTCTAGTATCGGCTCATCCTCATCAACCATATGGTATGTTTTTGTAAGCACGGTATTCTTGAAGAATGGATTCGTATCAAAAAAGAACTCGAGCTTGAAACCCTTTGGATCGTCAATCCTAGCCCACTTGATATCCTTGAGAAACTTCAAAGCTTCTTCATCACGTTCTGAAATCTAAACAAAGAAAACGAGTCTTCAGCATCATCATCAGAGCACAAAAAATAGAGTATTGTGGAAAAAAAGGCAACCCCTTCAGCCAAAATCTCATTTGTTTTCATTGCTGCCAGCCAGAAGTCGGGCACACCTTTGTCTGGGAAGATAAATAAACCAGTTTACTTGTAAATAAACCAAATTTAGAAGGGCAGTAAGGTATCTCAAGATAACCACCATACAGCCCATTATGAAATTTTTATTCAACAGTAGTTGGGCAGTAAGAAAAACAGATGATAAGCTAGTCTTGGTTTACCCTTATTTGCTTTATCATTTCCCTGGTCTGCTGAAGCATCAGTCACTCCTTCAACTTCCACAACACCATTTACAATCTCAAAGCGCTGTACATTTTTTGAAATGAAAGAAAAAATGATTAGACGAACTTCTACCCATCAAACACAACATCTCAAATGTATATACATGATAGTGTGTGTGTGTGTGTGTGTGTTGAATCGATCTGGTTCAAATGGGAATCAATCCTTAATAGGACCATGAGGTCAAATCCTAAATCGTTCGAATAAATTTAGATCCAATGGGTTAGTTAATATAATGATATATATTCTTCTATAGTTACATACATTAAAATACACATAATTGCACATCAACAACAGCATTCAGTAAAAAGAACATACAGAAAATATTTCAGTTATGAGAATGTTCTCTACTTTTGTAGCATACAAAAACTACTTAGCTTATAAGAATGTGCGTACCTTTGTATACAATGTTTCATAAAGTTTCTGGTATTTCGCTTCAAGTGCTGCTCTCTCCTCAAGAAACTTAGCCTCTAGCTCATCATGTTGGCCCTGTCAATGAAAATTCGTGTTAGAATAGCACAACAACAATTATCCCCATGTCTCGAAAGAACTATACATCCTATCTGGAAATATGTAGTCCTAGTATGAAATACAAATTACATTAACCCAGTCGTTCAACTCGAATCCAAAGTTAATGATACCTCAGACTTGCAAATATCTGGGATTCAAATGTTATCAAACTAATCTTTAATCATTGCAATATGCTTAGCCTGGCCAGTGACCCACTCTCTACTAGTCAAGTTGGTGAACTTCATCATCAATTGACCAGATCTATTTACTCTCACAATACAGCTACTACAGATTTTTAAGCATAGCCTCATGGATAATGGAGGCCCAGCACCAAAGTAGCTTTGTCATACAGGAAGGTAACATATATAATACAGTCCAAGACAGAGTTGACAGACACCAGAAATTATAAATGTTTTAAGGTACATATCAGGTATCAAAAACCAATAAGGAACCACCAATAATTATTCAAAACCATAATCACCATATTAAACCAAGCACAGCTAAAATACAGCGTTTTATGCCAACAGACAATTAAACCTGAGGAACATGAACTAAAAACCAGAGAAAGTGTAGACAATCAATTAAACAGTCATGGGTGATATTCCAATTAATAACCCTATAACAATATCCATATAATCTTCAATCTCTAATGGTAGTGAACTTAAGAAACAAAACAAGAAAAAACACGCGCACGCACGCACACACACAGAACAAAAAAAAAAAAAAAACACACACACATACACACAAACCTGAATCTCCCTAAGCACCTCGACGCACTTCCGCACATTTGGGGTCAGTTTCTCCATAACCTCTGCGTGCTGCCCAGCCAGATTGCTCAGTTTATCCTACAGCGCACGTTTGTAAACCTTAATCAACACAGAAACATCATAAAATCAAGTGGCAAACAACAAAAGGAGGCGAAAAACTGAAAAATCAAAAAACCTTGAGCGCATTCACTAAATCAGAGCGATCCTCCTCACTCAAAGCTGCACAGGAAATCAACATCAAACCTTCAATCCATACCCCAAACACACACACACACACACACACACACTAATCATAGGATGACCCAAATAATATGCAAATGACTAATAGTATCCAATTATTCACAAATTATTCACGATCCAACACAGTATACATATAATACATAAGATTATTAGTTAAGAAATGATATAAATGCACATGATTAAGTCAACCAATCACATTCCCAATAACAATTTGACAAGCACTCAAATGATAACCATCGTGACAAATTTCCTTTTTTTCCTATTTGATGTTGATTAAAACAACCATGAAACAAGAAGAAAACAAAAAATAATCACAATCGTGCTTATATTCCGAACACTTCTATTCCTTCAAGACTAAGAGCCCTGAAGATTAAAGTGCATGTACACAACACTTTCAGACTACACTGCTGAGGATTCTTTTTCGGGCCACATTTCAAGTACATTGTTTTCTCATACAGGACCATTAAGCTCATACTTGTGCAACACACACAATCTCCAACTAAGCTCTTTATGCATCAAGGTACCATTTAAAGCTCAATGCTAGATAAACTAGAGAAACTCAAACAAACTTGACTACGAACGACGGATCAAAATCAATGGAGGTAAAAAATACTCAATACTGACTTGAATGAAGGGAAGCTTGGAGGGTACTCTCCCAACGATAGGGCCCATTTCTCGAAACGGAAAATGAACCTTTTCTACAGGGGAGAAACGGGTTTGCGGAGCAGCGGCTTGACCGGATCCATGGAGCGGAAACTGGACGTACAACGCCGTAAGCGAAGGGAACAGCCATTTGGGATTTTTCTGGTTTCTCCGACTCGCAGAGTTGAAATTTTGAAGTTTTTATAGGGATTGATCATTGTTTGTGTTTTGCCTAATAAGTTTTCGTTATTTACTAAATGGAAGCGAAAGATACGCTTAATTCCAATATGGTCCTACATAATTTTGTGTATTTTTCTATTTTGTGTTTGATTAGTTGTAATCTATGTCATTGGTAAGAGTTTTAAATTTTATTATATCCTAATTTTCTCTCTACAATGTCATTAAAACAATTAATAATTAAAATAAATTATTATTAGACATTTTGAAATAAAAAATATTACTCACCTATTTTTATTTTCCTAAATATCAATTCGATATGGTTGTATCAAACAGTGTAATGAATCATGTTCTTCTCTGCTTCAAAGAAAGGAATCTGAATGTAAATTATCCATCAATTAAGTTAGTAAATGAAATTGTGTGTTAGAATTTTACCTATGTGATAGGTCATCCAGAACATCTCGGCCAACCCACTAGGAGTGTCAATTCAACATGGTATGGTTCAGGAGAGCCTAGTTCGTTTTAGCGCTTAGTTCGGCTAATCCAAGACCGAGCTTAGATAGCTCGGAGGACGAGAGACCATAAGAACATGTAGCTGAGATGTCAAGAGACCTCCGAACTCGAATATGGTAGAGACCTCTGATGTGATGAGGTCAGTGAGGTTGAGGTCGGGAAGTCGACCTCGACATACTCGTGGCATGAAGGTACCAAGGTAGGGATTGCGATCTTGAGACCTAAGAGCCATTTGGATGGAGGGAAAAAAAAAATTGTGGATGGAAAGTGTATATATTCAATGGCTCTATGTTAGTTAAAAGGAATTAGATATGCAAGGATCCCATGCCATACTAAGTCTCTTAACTAACAAGCAACTCTAAGTATAAAAGGGTATTCAAATTATTTATTTTACATAAACACACATATACGGCAGATTTCCATAATATTGTTCTGATTATTCGCGGTGCACAGACTGACTTGCGTGTCGAAGTCTTTTCCCTCTAGATCCCTCCCGACATTTCGCAAGTCAGCGGAGACGACGAGCCCATCCAAGCTTGTGGAATTCAGTTCAACCGGTTTGGGGACAATTTTTATATCAAATTTGTGTTGTCTGTGGGAAAGCTCTGGTCTTTTTACTTCTTTTTACCTACAGGTCAAAGTTTCTTTCCGCCGGCACCCATACTGGCGTATTTTGCAGGACAAGAACGGATCTTAGGTTGAAAGACGTTCATGACATCACCAGTCTAAAACCCTGTTGGGAAGCAATCATATGAATGCACATCTATATGATCAACACTTACACAAAATAGTTACTATTAATGAACCAAAAGAGATAGCCAGCTAACAAATATATTCAACAAGTGAAAACATAAAACACAATAAGCAGTTCCATCAAGAAGAAGAAGAAGAAGAAGACATTATATAGACTCAGCCCAGAGTTTAAAACCTACATTCCTAAGCTCCTCTTGCTCATTAATTTGCTATCTCTTTTGCAAAACCACGGCCGAGTCGCTGCAGAAAAGCACAATGATCGACTTTAGCGTCGCTATATCTCCAACGCCCCAAACTTTTGCAAGTAGCCTTAGGTGATCGTGGGTTTTGCAAGTAATTTGTGTTTCGTGTGGACCCAAATTCGTCAACTACGATCAGATTTCTGTCCACAAGGTCCCTTACGCGACTCTTCTTCAACTATGTCTAAAATTTTGCTGCCAATAAGTTTGAGAAATCCTTCAACAACCCATAGTTTAACGATGCTTCGAGATATTAATCCGCGTGTCTTCTGAAAGCAAAGCTCATTATCCTCTGAGTTCAAGATTGAGTTTTAAGTTTTCCAAGGAATATTTTCCCAGTATTCTTGATACAGCAAGTCATCATTGGTACTAATGTGTTTCATATGATCAGTCGTGTTAGTGGAATATGAATCTTGAAGCTGATCGACTATATGGGACTCAGATTATATCCTCTGACAAAACAACCACAAGTACCAAAAAAATGATAGAAAACACAAGAGAAAACAGATATAACTTTTATAAAATTTTAAAAATGGAAAAAGGTAAGAAAAAGAAAAACTCAAAAATATAACCAAGAATTATTCATTCCCCAAAAGAGAGCTGAAAGCCTTCATTCCCAAGCTCATGTTGTTCCTTTATTATCTCCTTAGCAGAATGTATGACAGATGGGCAATCAGTTACACGTATCGACTCAAGTGTCGGTATATCTCCAATCTCCCGAGGAATCTTCTCCAGACCGAATAGCCCGACAAGAACAAGTTTCTCGAGGCTCGGAAAGTGCGAGCTGTCAGTCTCCCATCTTTTCAGACCACTACAGTACGCGATTTTCAAGTACTTGAGTTCTAAAAAATCTCCCTCGACTGTTTCCCACATGTGTCCCGTGAATGCATCGTCACATAGTTTAAGCACTTGAAGATTTGGCAGCTTCCCGATTTTCCTCCCCATCTCTTCCCAACCGAGACTCATGCCGCCTAAAGTCAACTTCCTGAGAAAAACCGGGAAGCTAAGTCTTCGGCCCAAATCTTTCCCACGAACCATTTTATCAATGTTGCAGCAAAGGCTTTCGAGCTTAGTTAGCTGGTCGAGATTTTCGAGCCCATAATTTTGTCATAATCATGCTCGTCATATTCTGTCGCCAACTTTTTAATATTCGGGATTTGCTCGAAAACACGACGAGAAAACTTAAAGTTCACGACTCCCTTGAGGGATTGCAGGTGTTCCAGAACTACTAACAAATCCCGGGGGACTCGGAATCTATTCAAGTTGACGTGCCTAAGCTGGGTCATCTTCCAGATGTCGACGAGTCGAGTCGGGTTCGGATCTGGGTTTAATGACATCAGCTCCTGACACAAAAAGCTGAGAAATGAAGAAGCTACTCGGTGAATGTTGATGCAGAAAAATTCGAGAAATCGTGTGTTGGCCGTGAGGTAATCCGGTGGATCGCAAGTGTTGTAGGCCACTACAGTTAGTACCCTCAGTAACTTACAGTTAACACGTTGCAGATTAATCGTCTCAGTCCCTAAAGGCCATATCAAAGAACGGAGCGAAGAAGATTGCACGGAACCGAAATCGAATTCCTCGTTTATTGTTGAGTCATCGAAACAGATTCGCCGTTGTTTTTCGATTTCATTTCGGATATTTGAATCACCACGTGGATGCACGAGACAGAGAAACTTGCTCTTCTCAGCTTCTTTTAAGCAAAGGTCTCTCAAAAGATCGTGTAGTTTGCAGATTTTGATACTCCCCATGGAGCCGAGCTTATGAACTAAGACCAGGTTTCGATCCACAAGCTCATGTAAGTACTCTTCAGCTACAACCTCCAAACATTTGCCATTAACCGCTTTGAGAAAACCTTCCGCAGCCGATAACTTCACGAGCCTCGACTTAGAAATCTCACTGTCCTCTCGAAAAAAGCCCATGTAAAGGAAACAAGGCTTTAGATGCACGGGTAACTCCACGTAACTCAAGCGTAGTATCTTTAAACAATGCTCGTTTTCCTCCGAATTCAAGACTCGGTTCAAGTTGCCCAGCACGTGTTCCCAATACTCACGCGATTGTTTGTGCTTCGACAGAAGAGCTCCAATCACTGTGATGGACAACGGAAGTCCTCGGCAAGATCTCGCGATTCCCTTTCCCGTTTCTTCAAGTTCAAGAGGACACGTTTCTTCCCGAAAAACACATTTTCTGAAAAGATTCCAGCTGTTATCCTCGTCAAGAAAGCTCATCTCGAGGCCACGAGAACCGCTCAGCTGAGAACCCAAGTGGGAAAGCTGAGTGGTAAAGAGTATTCGACTCCCGTTATTATACTCGGGGAAGTAGAACTTCACCTTCTCCCACGCCTCGATGCTCCACATATCGTCCAACACCTCCAAATACCTTCTTCCTGATAAAGTTTGGTACAATTTGTGTCCTAATTCATGTTCGCTCGTTTGGCTCGAATCCTCCTTATTCTCTACGGTTTTCGGCGAAACGAGGACTTCTAAGAGAATCCCTTTAGAATCATAGTCTTGAGAAATTGTAGCCCAACCAGATAAATCGAAGTACTGCACTATAAGCGGATTCAAAAACACATTTTTAGCAAGAGTGGTCTTACCGATTCCTCCCATTCCTACAATCGGGATGACGTGGCGACCCGATTCCCTGTTTGTCAGCTTGTCCATGACGTCGATCATGACATCATCACGTCCCATCATTGTCACGTGCCCCAATGAAGAAGAAGTTCTTCTTAATGAACCTGAAGCAGGAACTGAATTGTTTCTCATTAGCAAACACTTCCCTTTACTAACCATCATCCATGTAACTTCATTCTTAATGAGCTCCATTTTCTCTGTCACTTTCTGCAGACTTTGACTTAAAACATCACCATTAGGATTGGGATTTTCAATCTGATCGACAAAATGGGATTCGATCAAATCCTCTGCCTCGTGAGCTGCATCGGCTATACGATCCCTCCACAGTCGACGAACGAATAACGTTCGAGAAAATTGATCAAGAAAGTTACATTTTCGGTTAGAGACTCAGTTTGTGGTTTGTCAAGAGATGATATTCGAGGGAGAGGATTTTTTTGGAGGTGTTGGATAGTTTGGCTAACTGAAACTAAAGCTGCATAAGCTGCTGCCATGAGTAAGTTTTCTACTGTCAAATAGATGGAGAACTGAAACTACACAAGATCATTTCAGTGAAAGGGTGAGGTTTTGTGACCAATTAGCTGTATGATTTCAGTAAGCACCTTTTTTGTTTCTATTTTCTTTGTTAATGACCAACTTGTTGTAATTTGCTCAATATTTTATGACCAACTTGTTGTGTGCATTCACTAAAGCACAACTTTTTATGACCAATTTAGATGTATGCTATGACTAAATCACAACTTTGGCTTCCATTATTGAAGACTTTTATGACCATATGGGATATGGCCAATGCTCTCATCTATCAAGGTTGATGCAATTGGTAGTTTTTTTTTTTTTTTTTC